TGCTGAGTCTCTGGCCCAGCAGGTGGCTTCTGCTGTACTGGGCCTTCCTCTCTGGCTGTGGGTTCTCAGCCAGCCATGAATTAGCCAAGAGATGTATCTGCCTTCTCTTCATAGAACTCAGCCTAGGTGGGGACCTTTGACCTCTGTGTGGGGCCATCAACTCCTGTTCCCTCCTGCCGATGCCTAGGCCTTGGGAGGCCTGGAGCTCCTTGCAGGCCCTCATGCCCCTGGTCCAGAGCTGGAGAGGGGCCGGAAGGGATGTGGGTTTTGAGTGAGCTGGTTCTAGGGAGAGAACAGCAAGTTTCCCCATGGAGGCTCTAAGCTCAGAGTATGGCCAGGGGCTCCCCACATTTCCTTGAATGGCCTGGGATTTCCCAGACACTGGACTTAGTAGGAAGCTGGGGCCTTTGGGAAGGGTGGCCTGGAACTGCAGCTGGGGATATGTGTAGGCAGCGGGCTGGATTCTGCAATCTGTGCCCAAGGGAGACATGGCTCCAAGAAACTGGCTGCCCTCGGCCTGCACCTTAGAAATTTTTCTCTACCCTTGGCCTTCTACCCAGCCCCTACCCCAGGAGCAACACAGGTGGCTTTTTGCTAAGTCTGACTCCCATAGGCTTGGTTCTCAGAGTTCTCATCCCGAGCCATAGCTGGGCTCTGCCACGGGAACTGAACAGTTGCCTCTGCTAGTTGGAGATGTAGGGCTAGAACTCAGGTAAGGGATGGTGGGCTTTGTGGTTTACCTAGCCCTGGTGACTGAGAAACATGCTTAGCATGGAAGTTCTTTCTGTGAACCAGGAAATTGCCTCACCTAGCTACAAGGTGCTAAGTTCTGGACTGCTATAACAGAGGGCTTGGCCTCCTGTCCAAGTTTTAGGCAGTCCCCCAAATCCCTCCCTGCTGTTAGACTTTCTCAAAGTGTCTCCTTAGAGATGAGGGTTTTCTCTGCTCCATCCCATGGCTGGTTCCTCCCCAAGGAGCTCAGCTGGGGTTGTACGCAGCTTGGGAGACTCTTCTAGCATTGGCTTTACCTGAGCCAACCATGCTGAGGCACAGACGGTGGGGGACATCCACTCGTCTCAGCTGGTGCCGCTGAACTGGAGGAGTTCAGGGAGGGAGGGTAGGTCTGTGGTGTGGAGTCCCTTCCATACAGCAAGGGCCTGGAGCACAGGCCGGTGTCTGCCTCGTGGGCCCTCCTGGCCCTGCCCCAGAGCTGCTCCACTCTGGCTCATAGCTGAGATCTTCCATCCCATCAGCAGCAACTTCGTAATTTAAGAACTCCCAGGGTGCGCCCCATATCCACGGCCACCTTTCTATGGGTCATCTCCTTTCTGAATGGAGGAGACTACAAATAAACCCCATGTTCCAAACCTTGTACAGGACAATGTCAGATTATTAGCCTTAAAATGGGAGCTTAGCACTTGGGCTAATAGGTGGGGGGCAGGTTTCATTGTGTGGCCATTTGCCGTGCTCTGAGAAGTACAGCTGACTGTATAGAAACCTATGGATTGCAGTGTGGGTGGGGAAGAATTCTAAGATCGAGGTGCCAGCAGAGCCAGTATCTGGCAAGGGCTGTTCCCTGCTTCCCAAATGCCGCCTTGTTGCTGTGGCATCATATCATGAGAAGGGCAAGGGCTCTTTTAAGCCTTTGAGAGGGGCACTGATCTGCTCATGAGGGTGGAGCCCACATACTGCAATTATTTTTGAGGCCTCGAAACTTCCATCCACACCCCCCACTCCTAATACTGACATCTGGGAGGGCCACCAATATGAAGATCAGAATAGGGTGTTAAGACTGGCAGAGCTGCCGGGCGGTGGTGGTGCACGCCTTTAATCCCAGCACTCGGGCGGCAGAGGCAGGCGGATCTCTGTGAGTTCCAGGCCAGGCTGGACCGACAGCCTCCAAAACAATACAGAGAAACCCTGTCTCGTAAAAACCAAAAAAAAAAAAAAAAAAAAAAAAGACTGGCAGAGCTGCTGATAAACTGTACAGTCACCTGGCCATGTGGTATCAGATACTCACATCTAGGTACAGTCTGGAGACCTTGGTCACTCCTGATCAGACGTGGCAGCCAGCAGCCAGTCAGAGGTGACAGCAGCCCTGGTGTGTGCCACGCGGCTGCTAGAGCTCACACTCCCTGAGCGCATAGAGCAGGTCTGTTTGAGGTCACTGTTGTGATGTGTATTTTGAATCTTTTCAGCAGTATGTGCACTGCAGGGACTTGGCCCATGCGCTGCATGTGCAGCTCATACTTGGTGGGCTTTGTAATGTGCAGAGGCGTTGCCAAGGGCAGCGGAAATGTGGATTTTTTTCCCAGCATAATCACATGAATCCTACTGCCACCCTCCCCTGCCCCTGGGCCTATGCTGTTTCAGCCTACAGCCCCAGAAGCAGCTAGATCTGTTGGCTTACAAATGTCATTTCTTCAACCTCTTAATTCTTGAACATAGCAGTATGCAGTAGGGACCTTCCTGCTCAGATGAAACAGGTCCTCATGAGGTCTGCGTTAGTAGTTTCTAAGAAGCCTAGGCAGAGGCTGCCTGCCTTTCCAGAATAATTCACTAGGTGAGAGAGGTCTGCGGTAAGGGTAGGCTTGTGATGTTCATCTTGGGGAATGTGGGGATCCAGTCCAAGCTAGACCTTGTCCGGCCAGCTCTTACCTTGGTCTCTTTTCTGTAAAGCTAAGACACTTCCAAGCCTGTTCATCAGCCTGATGCCCCAGACTCTCTGTGTGCCATCATCTCTTAAGGGCACCAGTTACACTAGAATAGGGCCACCCTCATGACCTCATCATAATTGCCCTGGAAAGGCCCTGTCGTTAGATCCAGTCAGTGCTCTGAGTCTGAGATTAGCTGCATCTCCAAGGACCCAACCAGAGGAACTTCCACACATCCAGCCCATGTCTGACAGGAAAACACTGGCTGGCTGAGGACTGCCACACAGGGAAACTGCTGTGTCCCCAGAGAGGCTCATTCTGTATTCAGCTCAGTCCCCGGGAAGGAAACCAGGGCCCTGTGGTAACTCTCCTGATCCCTTAGCTAAGGGCACTCAGTTGCCACGGTGACCTCTGTCTGCAGTCACTTCTCTAGGTTGGAGGGCTTCTCCACCCCCACCTCAGAGTTCACACTGAGTGTTGAGTCCCTTGGTGACAAAAACATGGAAATGGTTGCCATGGCAGCCATTCTTTGGAGCCCTCAGACTGAAGTGCAAAGTTCAGGATGCCCAGGAACAGCTGAAATGAAAATATGGGAAAATCTGCTCCCTCCCTCACCCAGGAGGGGGAGTTGGAGCATCTGGTGCCCTTCTGCACCCAGCTGTCTGCTCTCTGTCTTAGTACCTTGGCCAGCAAGTGTGGCCACAGGCGGGAGGTGATGAGCTGGGCTTCTCTGGGGCCATGAAGCCGCCGCTGCTCTTTCTCAGGAGGGCGCAGTACGCTCCGCTCCGTGGTAGGGTAATCTTCATTGTAGTCCATGTGGGATGGCGTGAACAGGGTGTGTGACATAGGGGGTGAGCACAGGAAAGAGGTCCTGACTGCGGGGATGGAAAAGACGGCTGCTTCCCTTGGATGAGGCTGAGCATAGCTGAGGCCTTCTCTAGGAGTCTCCTGAACTGCAGCGGGAAAATGGCAGTGTGTCCCTCCTTCTCCAGCAATTCCCAAGTAGGCTCTACGATGGGCCACCCAAAGGGTTCAGCAGCCAGCAATGTTTGAGAAGCCAACACATACATATGACCCATCACGTACAGGCTCCCCAAAGCCTTGTACCAAGGAAATTCTTGAAGGGAACCTGGTGCTGCACCCACCTATTTGAATAAAGGTCCTCCATCTTTCTTGTGTGTACACAAAGGTGTGTGTTTGTGTGTGTACCAGTATACGTGCATGTGTGTAGGTCAGAAGTTAGGTTTGGGTGTCTTCCTTTGTTGCTCTCACTCAACCTGGAACAGGCCAGGCCCCAAGGACCCACCTGCCTTCACACCCCCCAGCCCAGCACTGGAATTGTAGGCAAGCTGCTGCTTTGTCCATGAGTTCTGAACTCATGTCCCCAGTGCTTGTCTGGCAAATGCTGAGCCACCTCCCAGCCTTCTCCTTGAAAATGCCTCGTACTGTCCCCCGTAGCAGCATTTATCCTCAGTCTTAGGGGCCAGCAGCATCGGCGACCCTGGGGAGTGTGTGTGAAACGGAGGTCTCTGGGCTTCACCCAGTTCTGTTAAATCAGAAGCCTAGGGGTAGAGCCAGCAGTATTTTTGGAAGCTCTCCAGGGGAGTCTGGCACACTCTGGTTTGAGAACCCCTGTAGCAGGGGAAATCCTGGCAGAAGATTTGTGGGGGCAGGGGTGGGGGTAGTGTTGAAGCTGAGAGGCTCCAAGGGAGATGAGCAGCCTGGTGGGGAGGTTTGAGGGCTGCAGCCGACTCATGACCCTGGAAAAGCACTCTGGCCACCTGGCAGGTTCTTTTGCTACTGGTCACTGAGATCCCATGATGGGCTTTCAATTGTGTTGAAGTAAGGGGGTGTTGTGGGTGCATTCTAAAGCTTGGGGTGAAGTGATAGGAACATTTGGAAGTATAGGCATGTGGGATGGTCATCTTTTCCAGACTCTGAGGGGTCAGCACTGCTGTCATTGAGACCACCTGTCCTCAGGGGCAGGATCTTACCCAGAGAGCTAGGGGTATGCTTAATTTGTCTAGTCCTGCTTCCCAAGTCTCCTTTGTGGACCTCAACATCTCACAAGATGGCAATTGTCCCGAGAGGCGGTATTAGGTGGCACCTTCAGCAACGGTAGGAGCAACACTTCTTGAAGTAGTGGCAGGTGGGGTTCTGGAATCTGCTTTGCTACAGCTCACCCGCTGCCAGCTGGGGAGCCCACTGCAGTCCCTTTCCAGACCCCACTCTTTTCTCCAGGTTCTTATAAGGCATAGTGCAGGTAGGGCCCATCCCCATCCCAGGACCTGGGCACCTGGCTGCTCTTCCCAGCCTTGGCCCACACCCCTGCTTGCTTCCTTGTAGCTGTCCAGATCCACATCCTGAAGGCGGACAAAGCAGGGGACTGGTGGAAGTTCACGGTGAACATCATCTCCGTGTACAAGCAGGGAACAAGTCGTATTCGCCGTGGTGACCAGAGCTTGTGGATCCGCTCACGAGACATCGCCTGCAAATGCCCCAAAATCAAGCCCCTCAAGAAATACCTGCTGCTGGGCAATGCCGAGGACTCGCCTGACCAGAGTGGTATCGTGGCAGACAAGAGCAGCCTGGTGATCCAGTGGCGGGACACATGGGCACGGCGGCTGCGCAAGTTCCAGCAGCGGGAGAAGAAGGGCAAGTGCAAGAAGGCCTAGCGCGGAGGAGGCGCAGGCGCTAGGAGGGCGGGCAGGGCGCTGGCAGGGGCTGGCAGCCTTGGACTTGGCCTGCCAGGGTTTTCCCGGGGAGGGGGTGGGGCGGGGGCGGGGCGAAGTCTGAGTGGGGCGGGGCCCTCAGCGGCTCCGCCCCAGCCCCACCCTCATACCCCTGGCTGTGCCCTTGTGCGCATGGCAGAAAGTACCCTGTATTGACAGGCCAGGCCCTGGAGAAATGAGGACAAGACATAGCTACCTCATGGCGCTCCTTCCAGAACAGAGATGCGCTTCCCTAGGGCTAGGTGAGGGTTGCTGTAGAGGGGCTGGGGGCACCCAGCTCTAGGTCCCGGGCACAGAAAGGCACAGTGGACCACAGTCACTGTGTTTGATGGTTATTGAAGGGGATGTGAGAAGAACTGTGAATTTTTGGGCCTGCAGCCTGGGCAGGGGCAACCAGTCCACCACAAGACACTAGTCATGCCCCCTTCCTTTCTCCATCACCTGCTGTCTTAAGAATTCCCACTGGACCCCAAACTTTGACAACAGGTCCCTATGTCAAAGGGCCAGATGGCACTGGGATCAGCCAGCTTCAAGTCTCCACTGCCACCTGCTGGGCTGGTCTCCTGGGTGGAGTTCCCCGTCTGTAGGGAGGGGAGGCCCCTCCTGGAACCTGCCCTACCCAAGTGGGGCTGGCCCAGGCTCCTGGCCCATCAGAGGGCCTAGGGCCTAAGGACACCCCTGAAGCCCAAGCCGGGTGGTCACTGCCTTTGCTGGAGCTGCCTGTGGGAGGAGGCATTGCAAACCAAAACCTCCCAGAGAGTTTCCTTTCTGGAAACTTGGAAACAGCCCCTTTTATGACATTTTCCAGGGGAGGGGGAGGGGGGTGCTGGCGGGGTTTAGGGCAATGACATTATTTGTGTAATGACATCAACTCCCACAAGGCCTCACAGCAATGTCAACAGCTGGAAAGGGCCTGGTCAGGCCTGGAATGCCAGCAACTTGGCCCAGGCTTGGGGGAAGGGGCTTGCTTAAGTCAGGACCAGGGGTTGCTGCTTAGCAAGGTGCCTGAGTGTCCAAGCTGCAGGCAGGCAAGGCCAGGAGAAGTCAGGTTGCAGAGGTCCATGGAAGCTGTGACCCCTTACTGTTGCTACCCTCCCCGCTGTCTCCCAAAGGGAAGAACAGGCTCCTGGGTTAATAAGTCCACTGTAGCCCACAGCTGTCTTGGTCTAGCCTGGGCGGTCTCGTCCATTCCTCTCTGGCTGCCTCTGTGGCAGTCGCTGGGTCTTCCTGTGTGCCTAGCCCTCTTTTCTCTTGGAGCCTTACTGTCCTCACACAGGCAGCTCCACACTTCTCTTCTGGCTGCTTCACAGCCCCCTTGTGTCTCTCCCTGAATCCCTGCACTCGGGCCTCCAGCCTCACGCCCCGCACACTGGATGAGAGGCCTGGCTTCCCTCTCAGTCAGGAAATTGGTTTCATTTCCCCTGCCCATTTGGCTGCCCCAAAGGGCCATACCAGGAGTGAAACTCAGCCCCTCAGTGACACGACTCCCTCTGCTTCTCCCACGTCTGCCCACGTCACCACTGCCATTTACTGAGCACCCGCTCGGTGCCAGGCACTTTACGCATATGCTCCTGGCCTGTCTTCATCACAAACCCACAAGGCAGGGATTCTTGTCCTCATTTTCACCAACGAAGAAATGTGTGCACATGCCCGAGCTCACACCAGCCTCGGGACTCAGACCCTGGCCTCACCGTAGTTGCACACAAGCTCTGTCAGCCCACTGGGCACTCACTTCCACAGTGGGCGGGGCTTTTCACTGAGACCCAGGCAGCTGGTCCTTAGAGAATGAATGTTAAGGATATGAGTAGGTCTAGGACAGACAAAGTGACACTTTCAGAGGAGGTATCAAGAGTGGTCGGGGACAAGGAATGGCTTCCTAGAGGACAGCCCCAGGAAGTCCCAGGGTCTGGGGAGACAGGGGTCGGCCATCTGAGAGGGCCTAGAAAGGTTTCTTGGCTGCTTCAAGTGTGGGAAGGCAGGCTTTAAGGCTTCGGAGAGGCTGGCAGGAAGCACATAGACCTGCCTGGGAAGGGTCATGTGGCTTCCCTGGTCCAGGCCTGACACTGGGGGAAGGGTGTCAAGGGCCACTATCAGGGCTCAGACAGCCAGTGTGGCTCCCGCCCTGGTCAGCTTTGACCTACAAGCCTTAAGTCCTAGCCTCACCTGGTATCCACTGAAGCCCCTTAACTAGCGCCAGGGGCCAGCTAAGCAGCAAGACGTCTTGCTGGAAATCCACCAAGGCATCCTGCCCTGCCCCGCCCCACCTCTGATTGCCTGGGCAGATGAGCCAGGTTATGGATGAGGTCACAGCTGCCACCTCTGTAACTAGCCTGAATTCACCCCACCTCTCCTCTGCCTGAGAGCCAGCGTTGGGGAAGCAGCTGTCTGTCTTCCTCCTACCCTCGGCCCCACCTGAGGAGGAGATGAAAGGGGGAAGGAGGCATCCTAGTGTACAGTTAGGGAGGGATGCAAAAATGGAGGTAGGTCTTTGAGTTTGAGAGTATTAACAGAGTTGTGATATGTAGGTCTTTGAGGAAAGCCGTACCGGTCAGTCACTTACCAGTCAAGATGCCCCAGCTGAGTGTCTGCTTTCCAGATGGGCCATCTGCTGCCCCTGCCATCAGAATGCCTCCTTTGCTGACATGCAGTCACATGGTGGTGTGGGGTTAAGGAAATGGCATGCTCCTGGACACTCCTGTGGCCTCTGGGCCAGACCTTCTTGTCCTGGAAAGCAGGGCAGGAGGCAGGACCATCGGGCTCCTTCAGATGGGAGGGCCAGATACCCGAGGCAAAGTCCTGGGAGGCTGGAGTGGCCTGAGGGCTTTAGAAGCTTTCTAGAACTCTGCCTCAGTAGCTACACACAGGCAATGAGTACAGGTCATCTTAGAATTGCCCCAAGCTGGAACAAGACTGAGAAAAAGAAACCCTTAGGGACTGACTTGAGGAGCAGTTCCTTTAGGACTCCTCCATCCAGGAAGCCTAGAGAGTGGGCAAGTTAGGCTCACTGATGGACCATGGTTCACAGACAGACAACCCTGTGGACCAGAGCCATGCCATACCCCAGGGGTATGAAAACTGTCTTTGTGGGGCCTTGCCCCTGCCAAAACTAAGCCAGCCTCACCTCTGTGTCAGTGGACACCTTCCCCTTTCCCGCCCTGGATACCCCCAGCCTCCCTCTGTACCGATTCTGCTCACTCAGAATTGTAAATGTTTAGTTGTGACCATGACATATTGTTTGGGTCAGTGTTCCTTTCCAATGCATACTAATATATTATGGTTATTATATATGAATATATTTAATGACATGGAGGAAGTTGTGGATTTTCTTTTTTTTAAGGTTTTTTTTGTTGTTGTTGTTGTTAGAGTTGTAATGAACCCAGATGGAACTTGTAACGTGGGCTCTACATGATAGAACTAAATTCAGATATCATTAAATAAACTCTTGTATACGGTTCTGTGTCCCAGTCTTTCTTGGTGGCCTGAGCTATGGTGGTGGCATGTGGGGAGGTAGAAGGGTGGAGACTTCCAGCAACTTAAGGAAGATGGCGTCTTGCCCTAGAACACCCCAGCAAGACAGAATCTTGTGTGTGTTTTAAACAAAGAGCCCTAACTACCCAAAAAAGGCAGGAAAAGTGTAGCCTTGCTTAGCAAGTCCTGGGGGCTTGCTGGCCCTGACTGCTGCTTTGCGCTAACAGGCTCTCAAATGGGACAGTCTGTATTGCAATTCCCAAGTCACTACTGGGGCAGATCTCTGGAGCTCCCAGACAGGGGTATAGATAGGGGAAAGGAGGCTTCTACCCTCACCAGCAGCATTGGATAGGGTAGCTTTGACCTCCCTTCTAGAATTCAGAGCCTGCAATCCCTTTTGGACTTTCATATTCTCTTTCTTCTATTCAAGATGAAATAGAGATGAGAAAATCCAGGAGGCTGATGAAACTCAAGAGATCATGCAAAAAGATTTTTCCCCAGCCTGCTGCTGAGGCTCAGTGCCAAGCAGGGTGTGTGTGCCAGCATCACGCAGCCACCAGGAGCTGAGCTCAGTGGTTTTGGAGAGGCTATGTTCAAACTTTCAAATGGTTGTGATTTCTTTACTGAACAACAGGCCAGCTCCTGGGAGGATGTGTTGCCATGGCCCTCGGACCTGACCCTTCTGCACCCAGTATTTGTGAAGACAAGACTCACCTGCTGGTCTGGTCCAGCTCCTCAGCAATGTAGATTTTTGGGTGCCTTGCTTTCAGGGCATAAAAGCCTTCCCCTGATGTAGAGCGGATAAGCAGCTTGAGGCTGACACTACTGAGTGAATCTCCACTGAGCTAGCTCTGAGGAGATTCACTCAGGGCAGGCAGGGACACACAAGGTGTCCATCTCAGAAGTGGGTCCTTGTTGAATGCCAATGCCTGGTGGTGGGCAGTTTGGGACAGTTCCTGGTTGGCTGGCCAGGCCGAGGAAGAACAAGCCTCATCTGCTGTGTCAGGATCCCAGGACTGGGGCTAAGAGTTCTGTGGCTACTTGGCAGTTTGGTCATTTTAAGACAAGAGTTCGGTTCTCAAGGGCTTTTTATGATACAGTTTTTTCTCTCTCCACAAAGCTGTCTGTGTCTGAGTGTGTTCTGACCCCCTCACAGCTGGGCTGTCTGCTGGCAGGAAACACACTGTTGATCAGAGGCATGAGGATGGACTGAACAGCTCACTTGCCTCCTCGGGCCTTCCATCTGGCTGGGGAGATGAGGTGTTGATATCCGTCCAGTGCTAAGAAAACAGAATACAAGCAGGGTCTCTGCTAAGCACTGATCCATGGTGGTGGGAAAAGCAGAAGAAGATGAGAGGAAGCCCCTCAAGGAGGCTGAGCAGACTTCATCAGGACCCGGGGGCTGGTTTGGTACAAAGACCAGGGATGAGGGTGGCCATGAATTGCTGAAGTTCACCTATCCCATCTCTGCATCTCCCAGGGACAGTGCCTCGAATGGGGATGCCCACCCAGGGCAGACACACCCTGTGGTCTCAGACTAAATAAAGACACATAAGAACTCTGCCAAGAAAAACGGGAGTGCGAGAACAGCAGCCAGGGAGAAACACTGAATGTGGATGGCTTAACTCCTTGCTTTATCAACTTGGAGGCTTGGCGGGGCAGCAAGGCATTTTGGAAGGAGGTCTGGGCCTTTAGTTGTTGGCATGTAGCTGAGAGGAAGCTTGAGAAATCCTCTGGTACAGTAAGAGAATAAATGAGTTTAGTTTTATCTTTAAAGTAAGCAGTGGGAGGATATCTGCTTAACTTCAGCAGGGTCCACACAAAAGCTGCTAACACAACGACCTGAGGGAGCTGGGCGAACAACTATCTGGTTGTCTGCTGGCAGTTCTGACAAGCAGGATGGACAGCTCGTGAAGCTGAGGACCGCTTGGGAATTTTGCAAAAGCCCCCCATGGTAGGAAAGCCCCAAGGATCTAAACTCAAGGAGATGGTGCACAACCCCAGCAGACTTGTGCAGCAGGCAGCAAACTAAAAGGATACAGGAGTTTCCATGTCAACTCTGTGAAGGCATGGTGGATTGGATGTTGTACTTAGGCCCAGGCATTGCAGATCGGGTAAGGAGGTTGTCTTGGGACTAATGACAGCTAAGGTTCAGTATAATTATTAATAATCATAAAGTTTAAATGGGACAAAAGTACGGGTTGTGCCCAGGTATCTGGATTTCTTTATATGGTATCCAGACTTAAAATGCATATAATTAATAATCAGTTAAGTTAAACAATTCATATGCTGTTATTTTACTAAACTTAATTTCCATTGACAAAGCCCCCGGGGAGAGGGTGCTCTGGCTGCCTGGCCACTCTGTTCTGGAAGTGGTGTAGACTTAGTCTAGGATGCTTGCTACAGGTCACTGGCCTGCAGGTCTGACATTTTCAAGCTGGGAAACCAGGCCTTGCAAACTGTGCTGGCAAAAGCCACTCTGCAAGGAGTTATGTTACTTGGGTTTTGAGGCAGCAGAATCTCTGGTACACCCTGCCCAGCTGGGTGTGCCTGGCTACTTCTGGTCTGATGGAGTGAGAAAGCCATCCTTGAGGGAGACTGGCTGACAGAATGAGATACTGCCTGTAGAAATGCCCATGGCTGGGACATAGGTCCTTATGCTGTCACCTGCCAGGCAGTTTTCCCTCTATTCTCCCCTGCTCAGGGGTACACAGAAGTGAAGCAACTTGTCTGGGGTCACGCTGCTAGCGATGCCCATTCAGTCAGAAGAACAGAAGCAACTGTGTGCAGGCATGGGCCAGCGTCTTCCTGAAAAGGGGCTTTCAGTGCAACTGAGCCAGGCCTTCATGGTTCCGGTTCAAAGCGCCCTGCGAGTTGCCGGGGCTTCGTGCTGAGCAAGTCAAGAGGAGGCGAGAAAGTCAGACTATCAATGCTGCCTCCTCTGAGCCCCGAAGTGGGGGGCTCCAAGGAGACACTGTTTGTACAGATTTGGGGTTTCCCACAAGACTGGATGATACAGCTCTATGGATTCTTGCTCTTAAGTTGGATGATCCATTAGCAACCACCCTGCCCTGAAAATGTGTCCCAGGGCACATTGCATCCTGAAGTCTTGGCCTGTGGTACAGCAGGGTCCCTTTCTTCCCAGCCACGTGCCCCTGACACAAACCCACTCTTCTTTTCTTCCAGTCTGTTCTTCACAGCCTGCTTCATGCCCTCGCAGCCATTTGGCACTTCCTGGCATACCATAACCCCTGTCATCCTGCTAAGTCTGCTCCTAGGGCCTTCACATTCTCAGGAACTCAAGCATCGCTTGCCAAGTCAGCAGAAGACCTTGCCCCTGCCTGGCTTACTCTTCCAGTCCGTGTGCCGTGGAAAGCAGGCAACAGAACCCCGAGCCACTGGACCCCTGGGGTTAGAGGGGCTTGGTGTGCTTGAGTGCTCACCCAGTCCTCATAGCGGGCCCGTGAGGTGGGGTGGGGCAGGGCAGGACAGTTTCTTCTTTTCCAGATGAGACCACTGGCATAGAAGGGGAACCTGCCCATGGCCACAGAGCTGGTAAGTGGTGTGGCAAGCCTTGGAGCTGTTCTCAGCATGTTTGTTTCCTATGACTTCCTGCTCTCTGGTGGTCAGGCAAAGCTGGGAGCTCAGGCAATGGGGTCTTGAGGTAACTGTTTGACTGCTGGTCTGCAAGCTCCTAGAGACCCTTTCCTCTGCCACCCTGCCTTCATTCTGGAATGAGTTGGAGACCCCAGGCCTCCCAGAATATTAGGAATCGTTGGTCTCAGGGTCCCAGGAAAGGGCCCCACTCTTGGTGACACTGGGGCTCTCTTCCTGGTGCCCTACTCTGTCCGGCTTTGTGTTATGTTCTCCCAAGGAAAGTCACAGGACCCCTCCACCCACAGTCCCCTACCACAGCCTGTCTCCTCTTCAACGAAACCAATGCTATGTCAGGAGTTCTATCATTGGCCTAACTCTTCCTCCTCCTACCATGTAAAAGCAAGGCCAGCTGGCCATCTTGCTTTCCCTACAGAGAGAAGAGAGGGCATGCTGCCTGGGCCTCTGCACCCCTCTGATTGAGAACTCACACATCCGTGGCCCTGGTAACTTCTGAGTCAGTTCTACTCTTGGTTCGCTCTCTGAAATCTGTGTGTCCATGCCCTCATTCTGGGCACACATGGCTGTCAGAGCCAAAGGACAGGCTGGAAGAGGCCGAAGTCCCCAGCTTTCTCACCATGATTCCATCCGACTGCTCCCCACTCCAACCTCTAAGGCTTTGTGGCTACTTAGGAAGGTGTCACGTTTCTCTTTTACTGTTATTTTTGAGACAATCTCTCTCTGTATGAAGCCTGGATTGGTCTCAAACTCAGAGATCCACCTGCCTCAGAGTGCTGGGATTAAAGGTGTGAGCCACCACACCCAGATTTTGTTTTAGGAAGGCATCAATATTGAAAGGTGAGCTTATCCTTGCTGCAAAATGGAAAAGGGTGTGTATTCAGATGTGAAGACAGTCCCGAAACTCTTCGGAGCACAGCTGGCACCACCAGGAGTCTGAGCTTCGTGGGCAATTACACATGGCAGGCTGACAGGGTGGCTGCTGTGTACTTGACACATGTCCACGTGGCTACGCCTTCTGTGTGCCCTTCTTCCCACACGAGTACATGACCTCCCCCGGGCAACCAGCCCTCAGTCACACACTGCATATGGATGTGATGTCCCTCAGGATGGCCAGCACACAGAGGGTGACTGGAATCCACTGGCAGCTGTGGGACAGTGACCACCAGAGGGACTTCTGGCTAACAACAAAACCACTGAAAGAAGAGAAGGACCACACTGGGCCAGAGCTCTAGAAAGGTCTCCAGAGCTGTTCATCTCTGCTCCTCTACAGAAGCCACGGACACCAAGAGCCTGGAGTGGTGGGGAATTTATTGAGAGCAGGTGTTGTGTACCAAAAGGGTGCTGGGCTTTCATTCATCACTGGCAGGTGTCACGGCGGGTGGTCCCTTTATCGCTGTCAGTTGGTAGGCCACACTGCAATGACCACAATAGCCACAAGCAGCAATAAAATCACCATTATCATCCCTGCAAAAGAGAAGCAGACAAGTCTCTTTTAATGAGCCACATCAGAACAAAGGATCACACTCCAGAAGAACCTGAAGAGGGCAGTGGGCATAGCGCTGGCTCTGTAGGCCATTGGGCACAGCAGGCAGGTTCCAGGGGGCCTGTAAACAGCCGTTGCCACCTTGAGGGTGGTGCCAGTGGTCCTGAGAGGGCCAGGGCCAGGCCTCAGCCTTTGGCTCTCCTCTGCACACCAAGCTGCTAGCCCCAGCTGTAGAACGCTTCAGGGGCGGCAAGCATGGTAGCTGTAGATGATGGGGTCATCTTTGTTACACAATTTAACACTGCTGAGGCACCCATAAAGCAAAATGCCTAAAATTAATAAGTCATTTTTGGCTGTGGTCTATTTCTGTGCAGCTTATGAATGGTTAGGGGGGTAGTTTATTTTTTTAAGGCAGGATCTCATGTGTCCCAGGCTGATCTTGAACTCACTTTGTAGCCAAGAATAACTTCGAACTTCTGATCTTTTTGCCTCCACCTTCCAAGTGTTAGCATTATAGATGTGTGCACATGTGGTCTGTGTGGTACTGGAGACTCTAGTCCATGGTCTTGTACATAGTAGGCAGACATTCTACCAACTGAGCTAGGCCCCCAGGCCACTTGAATGTTTTTGAACAATCAACAACAAACAAACAAAAAAAGGAAAGGAGGAGCTGACACACTGTGGCCTTCAAAGCCTATATTATTTATCTGTCCCCTTATAGAAGTTTGCCAATCCCTGTTTGTTATTGGATTCTGGCCTTCAGTCTTCATTTATTTCAGCTAGGGAGTTACTCCTTCCTTTCTTCCTCGTGAATTTGGTTTTGCACGACATTTCAAGGTGGGTTCTAGTACTTTGTTCAGCCATCCTTTCAACATGTTTGCTGTAGGGAGGTGTGTGCATGTGTGCTAACATAATATCTTGGGGACTCGGGAGCTCATTCTCTTTTCATTCATTTCTGTCTGGGGAAGCACTTCCGGTTGCCTAGCTCCCAGTGGGCAGGTGTCCCACTGCTTTGTTCTGCTTTAAGTGCAGCTTGTGATGGAAATTCTTCTCCTGGCTGGGGGGAAAGGTTTACACCAGGCAGTATCAGAAGAAGACAGTAGGCATGATGCTGGCAGCCAGGCTGACAAGGCCAATGATATTCCTGGGACTCCAAGACCTGGAGTTCACCTGGGAAGAGGGGTGGGTTGTTTAGGAAATAAGTAGACAAGTCAGAGGGGGCCTGGTCACTACAGCTCAGGCAGGCTCCCAGTGGCAAGCACTCTAACTCCAGAGGCTTCGATGGCAGTGGTAGAGATGCCGTGAGTCTTGAATGTTCAAGCCGTGGTGATGATGAAAATGGTGGCATGAACAGTGGGAAGGAAGGAATACAGAGAGAGAACTGATTTTTAAGGCAAAAACGCCGATAGATTTTAGCTTTTGTGCACTACAGGAACAGGCCTTGGGCCCCCAGCTGATTTGGAGTACTGCAATCCAGACTAAACCTGCCTTCCCCACAGAGCTGCTGGAGCTGTCTTTTTGGACGTTGAATTTGATCGAGTTGCCACTTTGCTCAAAGCTCTCCAGTTAATTCAGCTGAGGTCCAGCGATGACTCAGCTGAGGTCCCTGGTAGCCTAGGAGACTGTGCATGCTCTGACTCCACTGCTCCTGCAGTGCCTCCGCTCCTCCAGCCCGCCAAACCTCTTACACACGCTGAGCCGTTCACCTGGTTCCCTCAGCACCGGTCATTTCCTTGGTGACCTGCAGGCAGTGGTGCTCTGTACAGTTCACATCTCTAGGCAGGACTTAGTGATTCACTTTCGAGGTGCTAGCCCTCATCTGTCCCCTCCCTGGAAGGTGAGGGTTAACAGAAGGGACAGCTCCTTCCCCTTCACCAAAACTGCAGGACCCAATACAGAGCTGGCACACAGAGGTGCCGTATGAATATAGTAAGAGAAGAAGCACACTGAGTGTCTAGAAGGGCAAGGAGAGAGAGTAAGACATAGGGAGAGCAGTGGAGCGGGAGGAGGAAGCTGTGTCAAATAGGAAACTCAGAAGTGGTCCATACCAACCAACAAAAATCACAGGGGCCCGGGGACGACAGTTTCTTGGATTCTAGAGGTTTGAAGAGGATAGGGAGTTTAAGCTGAGGGGGGTGGGGCCTTTAAAGGTGATGATGTATCTATCACAGAAACGCACGCATGCACGAGCACATGCTCGCACAAGGAAGTGTGCTTCCCTTTTGACACCTTAGACATTACATTGATAGCATGTGATAAAGTAGGCGCTTGTCCAAAGGTGAAAAGGGAACTTCAACAGCAAAGACAAATAAGACTTTTATATTTTAAACCCTTTCAGGCAAACACGGGCCCTTTGAGAAGTCATTTTCAACAGGCTTAAGTAAACACAGCATTGGGCGGTCAAGGAAGTCACTTCTAGATGAGAAGAAACAGTGATAAGCAAAGGCCAGTTGCAGCTTTGGGCTCCTTTGGGCTAAGGATCCTTGACTTAGGGCCCTTATCACAGCAACCTTGTCTCAAGGTGAGATCACACTTCCAGCACCTTTCTGGAGAGGTCCTGGAAGTGCATCCTTTCAAAGGCATGGGAATCCAGATGGGTCTTAACCCCTTCTCATGGCAGCCCACGCAGGGTCTGATACCCCACAAGAGCATGGGGTTTACCAGGCTAGGATATGATTATGATTTCTTTCAGCCAGCCTGCTTCCCTCTGCACCTTCTCCTCCCCTGTGGTCAGCAGTGGGTCCCTAGTGTGCCTTGCCTACAAACTTGCAGTAAGAATCACTGGAAAACGGGACACTGTCGCATGACCACAGAGAGCTTGACAGAGGCAGACCACAGCCACCAGCTTTCTGACATGGAGAGTGGGTCTAACTTTGCAGGAAGGCCTCTGGAACAACCGAAGCCATACTGAATCAAGTGTCAGAGACAGGCATTGGGGTGGGTTTTCCCCCTCCTAACAGTGCTCAGGCCTCAGGGGGTCTTACTATCCATCCCCAGCTAAGGAAATGTTTGACATTTCAGAACAAAACTGACAGGGAACTCCTGGGAACCTGCCAACTTCTAAACAATGAGCACTCTGGGCCCAGCCCTGGCTCAGAACACCTGTGGGGCTCCTGCTCCGGGTCTGGACGCTTCCTCTGCATTTCACTCAGCTCCTGCCATGGCACTGCAGGCACCTGGCCAGGCAGATGTTTGCTCCCAGAGTCCCTTTCAGGGCCAGGCACAAGGTGCCAAGGGTTACAAGAGTGGGGGAAAAAATGTCCACTTCCTTTGGTCAGTTTACCAGATGAGTACCCAACACTTAGGATATTTGCAGTCTAGTACATGGCAATTTAAAAAGATGTAAGAAAACAAACTAGGAAGGGACGTTAGCACTGTGGCTTTGGAACAGGGGCATGTTCTCTAAAGATTGTTCATCTGGATTACTGGCCCATGCTTTTTCCAGTGAAACACTGGAAACCAATGAGTGTTGGCTGGTGCCGTCCACACCCCTGCCATGGCAGAGTGCAGGTAACTGTCCTTCACGTTCACTGCATTGATGAGAAGACACAGAAAATATGGACATCAGCTTTTCCAGGGAATACCAGCCATTTTACCCTGTGGCGCAGGGTAGTGGGGAGGGGAAACACACAGGATAGGGGGGAGGTTTGGAGTTGGGAGACAGCAGAGAAATGCAAGGCACCCTTGTCTGGAAGCTCTTTTTATCCAGGTTTAACACAAGGAAAGCCATCCTGACTCCCTGATACTTGTTTTGAACCAAAATGCACATGCTCATTGCCTGCTCTGAGTCAGGTCAACAGGCCAGCCCCACACTGCCAGCCACCTGTGAAGACACCCATGACTAACGCCCGCAGTGGGTGAGCTTCCCCTCACAGTTGTGCTGTCAAAGGTGACATTTGCTTAAGTATTAACCAGTTGGTTCTTGCAGTTCAAACATGGATTTTGAAAAGTACTTTATTTTATTTTTTGCAGCAGACTCCAGAGCCAAGGTGGGGATTGAGCAGGACAAAAGACAGAATGGGGATATTTGTTTTCAAAGTTCATGTAAATGTCCTCTTGAATCCCATCACTAGGTAAATAATCCAAGAAAAAAAGAAGACCCCGGGGGAAGGTGAACGTGTTTGCCTTTTGCTTTTTGGATTTATCGACAGCTGGAAAATGCAGCCTACTCTGCAGCAGTCTGTGCTGCTAGCCTGCTCTTGGTGTGGACACCTCAGCTTTCACCAAGCAGCCTCACAGAGAGTCAGACACTGGTGGGCAGAGCAGCTCCTCCCTGGCCCTGGTCTCATCTTCCTGACGAGGTTACTTTACCCCATGGGTGTACCTGCTAACTACCTCCAGTGGTATTTTCATTCAAATTCCAGGCAAAAGGCAAAAGCCTCCCAAGTTTGGCTTGGCTCTTGTCTGGCATCCAGACCATCACTTTGAGCTTTCCTTTCGGTCTGAGGTGGGGCGGGGTTATTCTCCCTCTTCAACAGGCATGCCTGTCTGTGCACACAAACACATGTGCGCAGGTCAGAGGACAGCGTCAAGTGCCATTCTTCAGGAGATAGCCACTTTCATTTCCTGAGGCAAGGTTTCTCACACGCATGGGACTGATCAGATACGCTAGGCTGGTTGGCCTGTGAACCTCACTAGTGAGCTCCTGGGATTCACTTGTCCTTCCCATGTCCCCATGTTAAGATTACAGGCATACATTCTTTTGGGCTCCGGGGATCCATCTCATGTTCTGGTGCTTGCAAGGTTTTATCGACTGAGTTATCTCTTCAGCTCACACTCTGTCTTCTTCATGGACAACACACTCTCTACCTGCTCTTTCTACCCATGCCCTTGTTCCACTCAGTTGACTTCAGAGTCGTGGGTTCAATGCTGTCTTCCAGGAAGGCTGCTCAGCCCCACATATCCGTCTCTTCTCGAGACCAAGATACACCCCACAAAGCCACATCTGTGCAAGGTCATTGCTCAGGAAGGATAGTCCTTTATCTTTTTAGCTTCTCACCTTGTGGATCTCCCAACCTCCACCCAGGTCACAGGATCTCTGAGAAAAGAGATTATGTACCATCTGATGTTTTACAATCAGGGACACAGGACTTCAAGCCTACTACTGAGTAGCTAAGACGCCTGAGGACACTGTCTCAACTCTGAGTTTGGCTCTACCCCTGGTAAAATGAGGCTAAAAAGCACCAGCACCACAGACACACTATGAGGATTTATTTGATCATAAGGACACGGAGTTTCCGGAACATAACTGGTTCTCGGTAAGTGACAGCTTTGCTGAAAACACTGGGCATTCCTGTCTACCCACTGCCAAGAACAAGGTATGGGAGATGCTCCATGTCTGTGAATGTCCCACAAGACAGCTTGTGTCAGGGAAACAGCAGAGTAACATGTCACTCATTCCAAAGAAGAGGAGCAAAGGCAGAGGAACACCTGGGTGGCATGGGGTAGGAAAAGAGACCAATTCTAGCTGGGCCGGGCCATGATGACGGCATCCAGGAAAGGTTGGAAGTTCACAGTGGAATATCTGGCAGCATCCGCCTCAGTTATTAGCTACAGGAAGGGCAGCCGTGCCGGTTGGTGCGGGCTGGAGTCAAAAGGCAGGCAGAGCTCAGCCAAGTGGATGCCAGGTGAGAAACCTTGGAGGAAGTGGAGGTCAGAGCCAGGGCACAGGCTGAGGATGGAGTCACAGCAAGAGAAGAAGGTTAGAATAAATCGAAAGGGGACTTACTGTTCGACTAAGGGCCATTGCGGAGGAGGTATAAGGGGGAAACCATGGACTAGGGAGCCTGAGAGTTGAGGTTATTTGGGTATAAACAGGAGTATTACTATCACCAGTGACACTGAGAATGACAATAGCCACACAAGGAGAACAGAAGTCATATGTAAGAATAATAAGTACATGTATCCATGTCTTTAATCCCAATACCCAGGAGGCAGAGACAGGTAGACCTCTGTAAGATCAAGGCCAGCCTAGTCTACATAGTGTGTTCCAGAGTAGTAGGGCTATTTAGTGAAACCCTGTCTAAAAAGAAAAGAGAAAATAATGTTTTACAGTGCCCAAATCCTGCTACTCCCACCCCAGGGCAATGGTTGATGGAACAGTGGAGACTGGCACTCCTTAAGGGAGCTCTGAGAAGGTCTCTTGATGGCCAGTAGCAGAGCTGGCTTTGGGCAGAAGGCCAGATCTCTGGGTGGGCGTGTCACGGAGCTGGGCTCAGCCAGCTGGGAGGTCCTAACAGGACAGGACAGACTGGACTGGTCATGGGAGTTCTTGGAGGGGGAAGGTAGCACAGCATGGCCTGGGACCACATGGCAAGGCAAAAATTTGGCCAGCGAATAGGACCTACCTTTGTTTGGGTTCTGACTGAAAACAAACACTGGGGTGAAACAGCATTTGATCTTCACACTATCTGTGTCCTATTGGACTGAATGGAGGAAACAAACAGGCCCTGCCTTTGGGCAGCATCGTGGTCTGGGGACCATGTAGAGGAAAGAAGGCAGCCTGCAGACGCTCCCCTGATCCCTCTGCAGCCTCTACAGGCAAACTGCCCAGTCCCTCTGTATGCAGCTTCCTGGGGGTCGTGAGGGACAGGTACGGATTTCCCAGGGCTGCACGTGATTTTGCTGGGATCCAGGGTCTGGTACTTTGTAGGTGCTGACTTGACTTTCAGAAGAGGACCGGCCCCCTGAAGGCAAGACACATAATCTTTCCCCAGGTGGTCCTTCAGAAAGGCCAGGCCAGAGCTACCCAGGGGCGTGACCACTTTGAGAACACAGAGACACCTTGTGCTCTCTTGTGAAGGTCCAGCCCCACCTGAAGAGAAGCCCCGAGGGCCGGCACCACAGTAGCCCAGCAGCCATGCTGACAACATTACAGAAAGCCCTGGCAACATGGAAAGGGAGGCAGAAGAGGAGGTGATAGCAGCTACCAAGACACATCTGGGGGCCAGAAGGAGCAAGCATTCTCAGCAGGAAGTGGGAAGCAAGGAGGCCACCTGAAGTGGGGGAGGGGGAGGAGAACTGGCCTAGGAACAGGAAATTAAAAGGAATTAAGACAGTGAAGGCGGTGGAGCTGGAGAAGCTGGAGGGCAGCCTTATAACGTAAGGCAGGCTCTCTGGATCCAGGGCCCCACATGAGGCCCAGCACCGAGGAGCTGTGGAGCAGCAGTCTTAGGCCCCAGGACATGGACTGGTCAGCAGTTGGTCAACAGAGGCCCTGTGTGAAAACTCGCCCCACTGGCCAAAACAAATTAGGTCACAAGAGGTGAGGCGTGGTCAAGTGGTTCCAGGGTGGAACAAGAGTACTGCCAGAGGCCAGATGTGATGGCACATGCTCGGAGTGCTAGCACTGCACTAGGGAGGCTGAGGCAGGATGATCATGAATTAGAGGTTATCTTGGGTTACACAAGAGACTTCATTATGGATTCTAAAAGATTACCTAGAAAGGATTTACCCAAGAGAGTTACATGCATCCATATCAGAACCTGACAAAAGTCACTGAGTGCCTACTACGTGCCAAGATGCACAGTCGGCTCTTTATGGGTCTGCCAGTCTCACGAGGGAAACAGGAAACTTATCCCTGAGGAGACCAACCCCAATCTTACCTCCCAAAAGAAAGCAAACCTTACAAAGACAGTGTTCCCTAGCGGGAGTAAGCAAAAAACTTGGCCATTAGAAAGTTCTGAGACATCTAGGCCCTATCTGTTCTTAAAGCCTTGTTCACTTCCTGCCTCTGAAAGAAGCTGGGCTCAGCACTCACCACAGTTCAACAGCAGAACCCAATTGCAAATAGATAATCCTTTGTATCGGCAATCAAAAGCAGCACATTATGAGTTGTCAGAGCAATAATTTAGAGTCAGTTCTCTGGTGCATCAATACTCGCTAAGAAACATCCCCTGGCCATGCTGAGTGTTACCCCCGGGGAATGCAAATCTGTCTGGCAGGGGTTCAGCTGTCTCAGAAAAGCCAGGCAGGAACACTGTTACAGATATCTTGTTTTGACAATTCCCTCCGGACTGTGTGTCAAAAGATTTCTGGATGGTTCTAGCCGGGCTATGGATTCACTATAACAAACTCCTTCATTTGTCCTGCTTAGATGAAGCTGGGTCACCTGGCATTAATTAGGGACACCTGGCAAGGTGACCCAAGAGCTCTGATGCTGCCGTCCTAACTCAGGGCAGAAGCGCAGCATTTGTCACCCATCAGTGGTGAAAAGCAAAGCCCCTCGACAAGGGGCCAAAGGGTGTGAGATCCAAGGAGAGCCCGGAGTTCTGGGCCCCAGGGTGACATGTGAGAGTGGCCTAGGGCCTTGGCTCTTCACCCTGACCCTGCCTCTGACACGATGGTGTCCCTAAAAGGTCATCAGGTGCCTTTTGCCAGGAATTCTGTACTCTGAATGAAGCATGGATAAGGGTCAGTCCTGGTGACAGTCAAGCAACAATGGACACAGACTTAGCTCGGAAGGTCCCAATACCTGCCTTGGTTATGATCTTCCCTTAAACCCGGTTGGCCAAGCCATCCCTTCTGCAAGTAACCCTAATCACTCAAATTAATTTCATGTTTTTTATTGCTTTGTTTTGAACCTAAAGGAATAAAAGCCATTTCTTCCTGTTTGCAACCAAGCTCCTTCATCAGACGGATCAACAACAGGAATAATTCTTTGAAAGAAATATTTAAGCGCAGCATGTGAGTGGTTTCTTGTTACCAGTTTAGTCTCAAAAGGACAGCTGGGAAGTGCTGCTCCTTGGAGCATGTGGCTGCATCCTGACTGTGAAAGAGTCTGATTCCAAATAGAAACCACAGGTACAGTGACACCTTCCCCACCAACAAGTCCTTTTCTTCCAGTCAACACATCCTATAAGTGTTCTCTAATCGATGCCATAGATGCCTGTTTGGAAAAATCAAGATATAAAAAAAGATAGACTCCAGTTTGGAAGCAACAGGTACTTGGAGTAAGTATCAGGGCATTATAGCTCAGCTTCTGTAAATGAGGCCAACAAGAAAATGCTGGATGACCAGATTAATTGCTTACATCCCTCCTGCTCCAGGGAATCCACTTACAGTGACCTGAGTGTCTAGTTCAGGTAGATCCCAAGCAACTGTGCGAGGTCCCTGCCATTACTGCGCTTTTAGCAAAGGTCATATCCATTAACTTCGTTAGTGCTGGGAGCTGGGTATGCACCTTGTATACGCTATATATACTATAAACTAGCTGCTCAATAAACATTTAAACAATGAAATGATAAGGGTCCTGACTCTTGACATGGCTAGGTAGGCGAGAACTACACTGGAAGTCTGCACCTTGCACCAATAGCAATGAATAACGGAGACCAGCAAACTGCTGCCCCATGACTTAATGGTGGGTGGGGGCGGTAGGGGACGTGAAGAGACAAAGACAAGCAGATAACTTGATGTCCGAGAAGCTGCTGAGAAAGAGAGCCAGGAAGAAACACAGCTTCTTTCTTCCTGGTGGGTATGTAGGTGGTCGCTCAGAGCCGTGTGCCCTTTCTTCGGGTCTGAGAGGCACACAAGGAGGACATGCTGATATACTCAACTTTTTAGAAATTAACCATCCAACCATGAGGTGTGGGAGCACTCCTAAGGTAGCCCAGGGTGCCCTTCCACGTGGCATCAGGAAATTTCCAACCTTAAATGTTAACAGCATGGAAGCTGAGAAAGAACACATTACGAGAGTTTCTTGGTATGAAGGGTGATGTAATGACAACTGGAAGCAGACAGGGAACTTATTATAGAATGCGGCAAAGGGCGAGTTGGAGAGGAAGGCCTCGTCAATGGGTCCCAGCACTTTCCAGGATGGGAGGAGTCAGGAGGGGTGCTGGTTCCCACATGGTCTGTGGGGGACATGGGATCTCATATGAACTGGGAAGTAGTGTGCTGTTCCTTGTGTAGCTGCTATTCATCAAGTGACCCACTCCGACTGTTCTATGCCTAAATGAAAGCTATACTTCTTCAGTTGATGGCTGCTTTTATTAGGGGCCGTTTCACTTCATCACGGCACTGGCAGAGAGCTGCAGAGTGCTGGCCACCAGCTGGTCTCTGAAATTGAGAGGAAGCCAGGTTGAGGTTGTAGAAGTAAGATGAAGTAATAGATGCAAGATGTCACCTTATGTAAATGCACTTCCAGGAATGTTGGGAGGCTAGCACCACTTCCAGAGCCTAGGGTGAAAGACACTCTGTCATCCTGCAGGCCACATCTGCCCCACCTAGTCTCAGTGTTCCTGAGGCCTTCAAGGTGACATGCATTACATAGGGAACCACGGGTCACAGTGGCAAGAATATAAGAAAGACAACTGTTAAGGGGTATGGAGAAAAGAAAAGGCTGGCAATAGAACAGCCAGACATCTTTCGCATTAAAAGCCAAGTCTTTCTCTCAAGTAACTAGAATGTAAGTCGTAACTATTTGTTGTGGCTGTGACTTGTTCCCATCATGGAAGGAGAAAAATTCAAAAGGTCACCATAGCTTTTAACAAGTCATCATGAGGCAATCTGAGTTCTCTCACCCATTATCTTCATGCATGGTACACTTTCCACGTGTATAGCTAAACGAGAGGCCCATGACAGATACACATATGCTTAAATGCCAGGTCTCCCTCTCTTCACCAAGGCAGAAGGGTGAGTCCCTTCGAGTACTAGTCAGCCAGACTACTGTTC